TGGGTACTGCTGCTGCTTACCAAAGCCTGCATGGAGACCTGTGGCTGAAGAAGACGATAGGATGTCCAAGTCTGGAATGTCTGGGTTGAAGATTGGGGAGTCTGCTACAAAGTCAAAGAATAGAAAATGGATTAACCACTTAAAATACTATCATTGTCACCTAACATGAGATCAAACCCAGTTACTACAGAATTCTTTGGGATAGTTTCCCAAAGACAACTTAAGGCTATTCCGGGACTAAACATTCTCTATTGAAATAGCTTTTTTTTGGTCCAGGACTAGGCTTAATTTGTGTGCGGAAACCGGTCCATAGTGAGGGACTTACATAGAGAGTGGCTGGTGGAGGGGGTGAATGAGTCTGGGTCCCTGTGTGGGAGTTGCAGTGCCTCTGGCCTCCAATCCTCCAGCAGCCTGGTTTGAGCCAAGGAGAGACTGTCTGGACAGTACTCCTCATCTCCTCCAGTGTGGGGACCAGAGTTCCTACTGCATCCCAGGTCTGCAGACTCCACCTTCACTTCAACCAGACACTTCACCTCTGCATTCTTCATGTTAACTTCAGGGAATGGATGGCCGTCAACATGGGCTGTTGATGTGTCATGTCCTGTGGTTGTCTCTGTACCTGCTCGGTTAAAATGTTCAGCATCTTCGTGGTTGTCTGAGTACATGTTTGAGAGAACCTCTTTAGTCCCTGAAACGAAATATTGATAAGGAGAACATGCATCATAGCTTTGTGGAAACAATACATTACAGAACATTTAAAATGTGAATAGTTCAACAGTAGAGAATGACAGTCCAACTTACCAGCTGCATCTCCTTGATTTAAAGTCGACTTGCCCAATAAATCTGGCTTAATATCTTGAGTGCAGATACGACCATCCTCACGGATCTCACAAAACGATTCATTAAGATATGCAGGGTTATCAGCAACTTCTGATTCAAATCCTCCATACCTATCCTCAACATTTTTTGTATTTAGAGACTGATTGGATTCATGAACTCTATGCTCTCCTTCTCTTCCTGATTTGATTGTATTTTGTGAGACGTTTAGAGAATTCAGCTGCTGATGAACCTGTTGAATTCTACTATTGGTACTGGCTTTGTCCCCAATTATTGATTCTACTTGACGTTCCTCTCCTCGCGCTGCACATAATTCAAGTTCGGCTGCTTGCAAGCGAAACTTTAGGGACTTATTGTCCCGCAGCGTCTCGTGCATTTGATCCCGCACGTCCCTCAACACTTGGCCGACTAGTTTTGTAACCTCAACCACCGCTATCTCCACTGCCACTCCTAATGCATTTTGAATAGTAGCAGTCAATTCATCCTGAAACGAAAATGATAATTCCGCTACCAAAGCCGTGTTTGGAGGACTCAAGTTTGCCGACATTTTCGTGTTACCCTCGAACAAATGCTGACCTCAAGTCATGAGTTATGAATAACACTGATGTCCAGAGATGTTTTCAAACAAGGTAAACAAGCTAGCTAGTAGCTAAGTGAGTTAGCTTGGCCTGTATGTTAAACAGCTGGCTGCGTGCATCTGGCAGTGGCAGTTTGTTTTAGTGAAAGCTGCTCACTCCCTCCCCTTGTCTCGGACTGTCCCTTCGCTTGTTTACAACACTTACCTAGCGAGTAAATAATATTGTCTGTAGCTAACACGTAGTCACAAAATAATTAAAAACTACAATTTCAAGTGACATTTAAAGAATTGTTGCATGCTTTCCTGTTCTCATCTTTCCTCGACTAATAACGGACGTTTCTTCTTCCTGTTTGCTGTTAGGGCCAACCGGTATCTATACCTTCAAATTGTAGCCTATACCAGCAATATCTTTCAAGAGCCTATATGATAGATCATGTAACTAGAATACGTTTAATATAAACTCAGAATTTATAACATACATGTTGGATATTATGTTTTTATCAAGTCGTGTGAAATACATTGAGTGAAAAGCAACGCAATGTTAAACTCTGGCTTGAGTCTTAGTTGGCCATCTAGTTCACGTCAAATGGCCCTGTTCGAATGGCTAGTTCCCACAGCCACAAAGTCATAACCCCCACCTATTTCTACAATTCATCTTCTTAAAATGAGATTTTAAACCTTAACCCTAACCTTAACCACACTGCTGACCTTGTGCTTAACCTTTTAATACCAAAAGGTTTTCATGATTTTTTACGATTCACTTTGTGGCTGTGGTAACTAGTGGAAACCACGAGTACGTGTACGCATAATGCATCCTTCCTTCCTTCCTTTCCTACCCTCCTTGAAATTATGACTACTGGCAAATCAGAGTGAGTAAATCATTAGTGTGATCATTTTGGGGAAGGAGGAATTGACACCTTTTTTAAAGGGCGTTGGAATTCTGTAGGCCTACAGCTATAAAATAGGTTGTGTATCTTATGCCTTTATGTTAGACAAAATGCTATTATTGACTGTATGATTGATTGATAGATGAGGAGGATGATGATGAGCAATTGATGTTGTTGCTGCTACAGTAGTAGGCCTAAGGCTATTGTTGTCATTTTCCATCATTTACTTTTCTTACATTTCCTTGCTCCTTGCCTAATGTTACCAAGTATTTTAGCAGTGGTGGAAAAAGTACCCAATTGTCATACATGAGTAAAAGTAAAGATACCTTAATAGAAAATGACTCAAGTAAAAGTGAAAGTCACCCAGTAAAATGCTACTTGAGTGAAAGTATTTGGTTTTAAATATACTTAAGTATCAAAAGTAAATGTATTTGCAAAAATATACTTAAGTATCAAAAGTAAAAGTATAAATAATTTCAAATTCTTTATATTAAGCAAACCAGACAGCACCATCTTCTTGTTTTTTAAATTTACGGATAGCCAGGGGCACCCTCCAACACTTAGACATCATTTACAAATGAAGCATGTGTTTAGTGAGTCAGCCAGATCAGAGGCAGTAGGGTTGACCAGGGATGTTCTCTTGATAAGTGTGAATTAGACCATTTTCCTGTCCTGCTAAGCATTCAAAATGTAACAAGTACTTTTGGGTGTCAGAGAAAATCTATGGAGTAAAAAGTACATAATTTTCTTTAGGAATGTAGTGCAGTAAAAGTTGTCAAAAATATAAATAGTAAAGTAAAGTACAGATACCCCAAAAAAGTATTTTTACTTAAGTACTTTACACCACTGTATTTTAGTGATTGCAAAGATGAGAACAGAATTTCCAATGATATTCATTTTAATTCCTATAATTGAGCAATTCTTAAGGAGAAATGGGAATGGAATTCCAAAGATTCAACAGGCCTCTCGCCTGCAGCCACACAATGACACAGGTCATTTAGAGCTGTTCAGACCGAGTGGTCAAAAAGCCTATTGACAGGGGTGTCAAACTCATTCCATGAATGGCCAAGTAGTGTCTGGTTTTCGTTTTTTCCTTTCAATGAAGACCTAGTAGGCAACCAGGTGAGGGGAGTTATTTAGTAATTAGTGACCTTATTCATCAATCAAGAACGAGGGAGTGGCGAAAACCCATCGACACTCGTAAGTAAGTCTATGGAAGGTGGTGAGAACCATGAGCCTCCTAGGTTTTGTATTGAAGTCAATGTACCCAGAGGAGAACAGAAGCTAGCTGTCTTCCGGCTACACCATGGTGCTACCATACAGAGTGCTGCTGAGGCTACTGTAGACCTTCATTGCAAAACAGTGTGTTGTTTAATGAATTAATATAGGGGAAACACTGACAGTTATTAAGGTAATTAAGTTATTGCAGGGCCATTGTCTTTACACTGTACCACTCAGAGGGGGATATATGATGGGAGACATCTCTTATTAAATAGAGGTTTGAATCTAGATCCGTCTCTTTACACTACCTAAGTATCTCTCCTGGACCTAGTTTGTCTTAAAAAGTAATGAAGTGTAAAGAGGCCCTTAGCCTGTTGGACCTCTGGGTGTGAAAACTCTGGCATGGTGCTGAATAGTTGACCGCGGCCCTGTCCACGGACGTGGTGCTGAAGAGCTGACCGCAGCGCTGTTCATGACCCCATGGTGCTGAAGCGTTGACGGCAGCGCTGTTCACATTTATGGCATTGAAAAACTGACTTGGCGCTGTTTACGGCCGTGCGTGCTGAAATAACTTAAATATTTTTGCGTTCAGCGCTTACTACGGTCCAGGCTGCTTGACGTATAGCCCACAAAATGTGCAAAAATACAAACCCATACACGGAGTGACCAACATGTGTTGCAAACGCTCTGATGAAAACATGATTGGATAAATCTGTCAATGGTCAGAAGGGATTCCGCATTCAATAATTAAAACATGTTACATATAGAAATTGATATGGCTGACAAAAATATAATCCGTAGATGTCTGGTCTTATTTTCTCTTTCTGACTAGTTAAGAGGCGTATTTCTGTAAACACATATATAGGCTAAATATAAAAGGATTTAGCCTAATTGGCTAACTTTTGGATATTTATTGATCAGTCCATCGATGGTAAAGCATGCGATCACTGGCTTGTGATAGCCTACATAAAATAGCCAATATTTGTGTTTTCTTAGTAGGCCTACAGTGAACAAGAGCCCGATATCTTATGATAATTAACCTTAACTGAACGCAATGTCCTTTCAGTTTTGCCCCACTATCAATCTCAAGACCCAAACAGTCATTTGATTGACATTGCATAATGTGTGCAGCACATGAACATGCATAGAGGAGCATCAATGTGACAGTCAATGCAGAATAGTAGGCCAGGCTACAGTAAACAGACTGAGCAAGCAGCATAGGCTGGCTATAGGGAGCAGTGCAGGCGTCACTCGCCGAATGTACCAGCCTGTGTGTGCTCGCAGACGGGGGGAAAGGCTGATTTATAGAAATAACACATGTTCAAATTAGCTCGCTTATTCTGAAGGCACGCACGTTGGATGCTTCACTCTATGGATACGATGAGAAGGAAAAGAGGAATGTGGCTATAATTAATTAATAGCCTGCTCGTTTTAGTGGGGGCGATTTTAAGCAAGCAAAACAAGAGACCTGCCTAGTAATGGAGAACCAGGCATCGGAGCTGCTACAGCAGCAGCAGAGCTACGAGGACGTTCGGAAAAGCGGGTATCTCCGCAAGCAGAAATCTATGCACCGGCGATTCTTCGTTTTGAGGGAGGCCTCGGAACAGGGCCCAGCCCGACTAGAATATTATGAGAATGAGAAGAAATTCCAAAGCAAGTCACCTGTCCCGAAAAAAGCACTGAATCTGGAGACTTGCTTCAACATCAACAAGCGGGCGGATTCCAAGAACAAGCACATGATAGTGCTTTATACCCGCGGGGAGAGCTTTGCCATTGCAGCAGACAGTGAGGAGGTCCAGAATGAATGGTACCAGGCCATGCTGGACCTTCAGTGGAAATGTAAGCCATAGTACACGGGTTTACTATCTATGCTCAATTTTCCCATTGCACGTTTAGTCTGCATGGGCTAATGTTGGTCTAGCCATTCTGGATTGAAATCCATTTGACATTTACATCTGTAACGCGATATCATGTTATTGTATCCTTTATAGCCCATCACACGTGTGATGCTCTTTGTAGTATATATATATATTATATAGTACATTGAATACAGGATATTGCTATTATAAATCAAGGTATAGCCCTATCCTATGAGCAGGTGCATTGCAGTTCAAATGGGGTGGTGGACCACTGCTGCATGCGCTGTCTCAGCAGTAGCCTATCTGAATATTTTTTTTTGTATAATAACCAATGTTTTTGATCGTTTTCATTTTCCTGCATGTTAGCCTACAACATTATTGCAAACGTGCGTGAACCAACATATGGAATTGTTGTATTCTTATTCGCGACCAAATAGGCTGCAGCACGCCATCATTCATAGCGCATAGCCTAGGCTACTGCAGAGGATGCAGCCGAGTAGTCCGCTGTATGTTTTTATTTTTCGACACATAACTCTGCATGTCGTGCGCATAACCTACATTTCTGTGCTATGGCGTTGCCTGGCATGGGGGAGAGCCGCAGCATCTGCGTGTTTTCATTGGGAAACGTGTTTCTATCAGTTTCCGTCGTGTTTACAGTAGGTTGTTATGCTGGAACACTAACCCCCACTGCTATCGTTTCAGTAGTAATATATATATATATATATATATATAAAAATCCTAATAATGATTGTAATAATGTGGCACAACATTTCCTCAACATTACATTTGTCTTTATTATAAGGGCCTAGTTATTATATTTTCTATTTATATAGGCATATGTAATTGTGTCATTCCACCAATTGGGTGCCTTTTAAGTAGTGTAACTTAGTCCCAAAAACGTTTGATTTCACCTAATTTTAACATCGTCAAAGAGCACATGTTCAACTTAATAAGAAACACGTTTTTCCATCTCAAGAGTAAAAAAAAAAAAAAGAAGACTATATTAAGTGCCTATTAAGTGCCAAACAAAGCAACAGGGTTGACTGTAACAGGGTTTACGATGTCAATTGAAAACGCAAAAGGCACTCATTTCGTGGAACAACCCAATTTAAGAAACAGTATAGAGAACAAGGCTACACAAACACATATATTGGTTTCTTGAGTGGAGCAGGAATGTTGTTACATGAAACCTATCTGGTGTTACAATGTGATGGTCAGTAATAACATTGTAATAACCTGTAGTTAGAGTTTCGACACCTTGTAGGTTATAAAGATTTATCATTTTCATGATTATAAACATTCTTTATTGAAGCAACCCAATAATATTAATGTTCTTAAAGAAATGGTTTAGAAAAATATGCCTTATTTGCACAATATTAAATGTCACTCCACCACATGCGCTTAACCATCATGCAGTGTTTTTGTTATATGATACAGTCTTCAATTATTGTTTTTTTATGAATGCATTCATGCAACAACAGGGGCCTGCATGAATAATTGGGCTAGTCATGTGTCTCTCACATGGACAGGGATTTTTAAAGCAGTTAGGCTGCGGAGTTCCTAAATGTGCTGTATGTGCTACAACTGACGTTCCTTCTGACCTTGATAATATAGGAATATTGTATACAATATTTTGGTCTCCTGTCTGTCAACCGTCGTAATGTGCTGTCTCTCTGTGTGTGTCTCTCTCTGTCTCTATACTGTATATCTCTTTGCATAGTTTTTTGTCTTGCTGTGTATTGATATGTGTCTTTGTTGTGATTCTCCGCAGGTAAAAGCCCAGAGGACTGTGGCAGTGGTGGAGAGTGTGGACTCCCCTCTCCTCCAAGCCCTGTCTTTAAGGAGGTGTGGCAGGTCAAGGTGTGGCCTAAAGGGCTTGGCCAGGCCAGAAACCTAGTGGGCATCTACCGGCTGTGCCTGACTGATAAGACGGTCAACTTCGTCAAGCTCAACTCTGACATGGCCACCGTGGTCCTACAGCTGATGAATGTGCGTCGCTGTGGCCACTCTGAGAACTTCTTCTTCATCGAAGTGGGCCGCTCGGCCATGACGGGGCCTGGGGAGTTCTGGATGCAGGTGGAGGACTCGGTGGTGGCCCAGAACATGCATGAGACCCTGCTGGAGGCCATGAAGGCTCTGAGCGAGGAGTTCCGCCAGCGCAGTAAGTCCCAGTCTGTGGGAGCTACAGCTGGAGGTGGCACCGCCTCCAACCCCATCAGTGTCCCCACCCGCCGCCACCACCCCAACCTACCCCCCAGCCAGGTGGGCTTCGGCAGACGATCCCGGACCGAGACCCCTGGATCAGGTGGGGCCAACTGTACCAGCACTTCACCCACGCCACGCAACGGGTTCCCCAGGGCGCGTACAGCCAGCATCGGGGAAAGGATGGAGGAGGGTGGAGGTGGAGCCAGGGGGGCATGGGCAAGCTCCAGTCCCAGCCTGAATGGATCCTGTTCCAATACGCCCACCCTGAGACCCAAGCCCACCAGAGCTCCAACCCCAGCTAAGATCACTCTCAGCCTGGCCCGCTACACCCCCAACCCAGCCCCTTCTCCAGCCCCAAGTCTCTCCTCCAGCTCTGGTCATGGCTCAGAGTGTGGACTAGTCGGAGGGGCAATGGGAGGCGTAGCGATCTGCTCTTACACCCGTGTCCCTCAGAGAGTCTCTGTGTCGGGCTCCCCTAGTGACTATGGCTCCTCAGACGAGTATGGCTCCAGCCCTGGAGAGCACTCCCTGCTGGTCCCCAGTCTGCCTGGAGGGTCCCATGGCGGGATGGGACACCATACTCATGGAGCAAGCTCTTTCAGCTACATAGTGATGGGCCAGAGAGAGAGCCTCCCTGGGTCCCATCAGCGTCCTCAAGGCCGGAGGATGCTGCGGCGCTCCTCCAGCAGGGAGTGTGAGGCAGAGCGCAGACTCCTCAGCAAGAGGGCCTCCCTGCCCCTGGCTGCCCACGAACGCCTGGCCCCTCACAGGAAGGAGGAAGAGGATGAGGATGAAGAGTACGCTGTCATGTCGCGGAGTGTTAGCAGGGATACCTTTGTGTCACTGCGTGGATCAGGGGGCTCGGCAGCAGGGGGCTCGGCAGTGGCAGTCATGGTTGGGGAGACCCGGGCGAGGGCTGATGGCGTCCGAGGAGAGGTGGGAGGAGGAGGAGGGGCGCCAGTGGACAGTGGCTACATGTCCATGTTACCTGGAGTGACGGCTCCTCCTGTTTCTCTCTCTCTGTCTGTGGCCGTGTCTGATGTCGGTGCCAAACCTGGGGCTGATGATGAGTACATGGCCATGACCCCCAACAATAGTGTGTCTCCCCCCCAGCACATCCGCCTGCCTGTCTCAGAGGGCTACATGGTTATGTCCCCCAACAGCAGCTGCTCCCCAGACTTGCATGGAATGGCCATGTGGGGGAGCAGGGGCAGCATGGAGAGCCGGGCTGGCAGTGACTACATGAACATGTCTCCAATCAGCATCCGCTCGGCTTGCAGCACACCCCCCTCCCAACCTGAACAGAACCAGTTACAACCCAAGATGGTCTACTCCTACTTCTCTCTGCCGCGATCCTACAAACACACGCTCTCCACACGCTTCGAGGATGACTTAGATCAAGGGAAAAGGAAGGAGGGTGGTCATCACAACCATGACTGTCCTGGAAATCGGGATGGACAAGTGGGCTACAGCAAGAGGGACACAGCCATTGTTGGCCCTGCAGGAGGCTGTCAACTCTGCCTCTCCTCTTCCTCCTTCTCTTCCAGCTCAGCTAGCAGTGAGAGCCTGGATGATAGGCCCATGTCAGTGGCAACTGGGGGAGGGCTACGACTAACAAGAACAGGGCCAGGGTTCAAGAATGGGGGAGCACGCTCAAAGGACGGATCCTACCAGCAGAAACGTGCATTGCATGGCCAAGTGGGACAGCAGACGAAGCCTCGTCCCCTCAGTGTGTCTGTGGACATGTCTAAAGCTAACACCTTGCCAAGGGTTAAGGTGAATCTCCTTCCCACAGTGCCTCAGAGCCCTGGGGATTATGTCAGCATTGTGTTCAGGGGTGGTGATGTGGGGTGCAGGAGAGGGGGCCAGTGGGGGCCAGAGCATGGACTGTCAGTCACCCATGGAACCCCGAGGCCCCTGCACCGTCCAGCCCTCTGCCACAGTGGCTCCACCAACCTCCCCCGCAGCTTCTCTGCACCTCTGGCCACCTCTGCTGCCTTGGCTGCCTCTGCTGAGTACGTCAACATGGACTTGGGGATGGGGGACTCCCCTTGCCCCTCCCCCCAGACCCCTGTTAAATCACCTTTCAGCCTGCCCCCAGCCATCGCCCCGAAGCCCCGAGTTGTGGCCCGTAGTAGGACCTCTCCTAGGGCAGCAGAGGGCAATGTAGGTGGGCATAGGGCGGCAGTGCCAACAGACTTACCCACGTCATATACAGACTACACAGAGATGGCCTTCAGCATGGGTTCAGAACCTAACCCTGCAACGCCTGCCATGCACGTTGCCCAAGCATCATCAATGGAGCAGGAACCAGGCTTGGACTATCCCTCAGAAAAGTCCTACTCATCTCCTGACCAGAACCAAAGCAGCAGGCTGGCCAGAGACAGGGTTGACAGGGGCGACCAACTGGGACGGAGACGCCACCACTCTGAGACCTTCATCATGACTCCTCCCTCTCTCCCCTTCCACCTGTCCTCCTCAGGCTCCTTGTTCTTGGAGAGCGCCCAGGCAGCATCGCCTCATCGGCATGGAGTGCTGGAGGGGGGTTCACCATGGGAGAATGCACAGGCAGCTATGTCTCAATGTGCCATTCCTGCTGCACCCGCAGCCCAGGCTTCATCCTCTGGGCCTGCTGAACAAGGCCTTAATTATATTGATCTGGACCTGGCCATTAAGGACAGCTCTCAGACTGGACTGGAGGGGGGAGCCACTGTCCCCCACAACATCTTCACATCCATCCACAGTGGGGCAGTTGGGGGAGGCATGACTGTTTTGCGGAACAACCCTGGCTATGCCAGTATTGATTTCTGCAAATCAAAGGAGCTGAGAGCACATCATCAGGGCAGCAGGAAAGATGGAAAAGGTAAAGTTACTAAACACCTGTTGTATATGTTTTATCACGAAATGCACACAGAAATGGGTATGTTAGTTATCAACATCATCATCAGTAGTAGAAATCTTTGTTATTCTGTGTGATGGAATACATTTCTGGCACACAATTGCTTCGGGGTCGAGGTGTTGGCTGGCCTCCTAAAATGACTGCTGCCTCCCTTGAGTTGAAAAACACATCTTATATCACCATCAGAGTTTTTATACATAGGGAAGCATGTAACACCAATACCCCTTCTCAAATGACCTCAAACAAACCCTGTCACCTTTTTGTCCATCTCTGAGAGGTTGTCTAGACAATGGATTGTGCTGGGTTATGAAAGCTAAAGTCTAGCCCATTGATGGCTGGAGAAATAAGGGCTTTCATTGTACAGGGGTTACAATAGGATCTGAGTGGCACTCAACTATTATTTAGCATTATTAACATTAGTTGCCTTTTAACACAGCAGAAGCTGTGTGTGGTAAAATAGGACTGATTAAGTTTATACAACTTGATAAAGGCTGACCCTGGCCCCACCACCCCTGGATTACACAGGGATTCGATTGGGAAGGGGGAGAAATACACACCAGGTTTACCTCCCCATTAATTCTACCCAAATCCAATTTTAGAATTAATTCTGGAGCAAAACACAGAAAAAAAGTTTAAGAATGTATGTTTTGTTGTAACCCTTACCCTCTTAGCTGTTTTTCAAGAGGATTGCCTTTATAAAATATTTGTTACTGTTGTAAGGACACAATTTTCTACAGTGTTTACTGCTGGTGTAATTAATAAATACTTCTCAGGTCAAGGAGACCCTTTGGATGATGCACCGTAAGCCGTGTATAAAGAACTGAAGTGGAATACAGGTTAGGTTACGTGATATCATCCTTTAGCATTCTTCAATCGGATGACTGAAGTTTAACCATAAACTATGACATGTCTGGTGGTCAGCAGGCTGTACATAGAACCATGCCATGACCAGTGTCAGTGGTCTTCATTACCCGTGGCAGAGATTGTTTTCTGTCAGTGTATGTCAAAGGATTACTCATGAGGCCTGTGTCAGCAGCGTGTACACAGTGTGTTACAGAGCCTCGAGAAAGGAGCCAGATATTTTGTGTTCTTTGATTTTGCTTACGTCAAAGGAAGTCTTATTCTCTTTGTTTCCTTAGTGATGCCAATGAAAGTGTTGTTGTTTTCACTCTGCTCCCCCCCCTCTCTTCTCCTCTCCTCCCTATTGCCCAGTTCTACTGAGCATATTTTCACCATCACAGCCTATTTTCACTCTCTCCTTTTCATTTCCTCCTTGTTGTGAAACCATTTCCTCAACCCCAAGGTGCTTATCCTTCAGTGTGTGATTGAACAGCCCAGTCAGCTCTTGTTTGGTAACAACAATCACTAAGCAGAAAGTGGTTACTCCTCTTAGTGCAATGTCCAATTCCTCAGCCAGCCACACTTAATCTATGTATCTTTGTTTTTGCCCTAAAGCTTTCAGCCATGTCTGATGTGTACCTTGGCTTCCAGTCTGTGAGAAGTGTTGCGCTGCCTGCCAGGCTCAGGGTCGTCTATAGAGAGATTCTCGTAATCACAAGTGGGTGTTCAGTGAGCGAAGCCAATTGATTTGTCTGTTGGTAATGAGCCATTTCAGATGGGTGGAGGTGGAGGGTTCAGGATTGTGGCCAGGTGTTTGTGTTGATGTGTGGGTGGCTTGTTGGCTTTGGGCTTTCATATGGCAAATGATGTAGGATGTTTTGTGTGTGTGTGTGTGTGTGTGTGTTATATAGAAATGGAAGCTAGAGTGTATTTATATGATCCAATGACTGGAGAATTTTGGTTTATCAAAGGGAACAAAAACTGCGTTGCAATGGAGGATGATGCAAGAGGTGATAGATGGATTGACATTGTCTTCTGTCGCCACTCTGGTCAAAGATATACACTCAATGGCCAGTTTATTAGGTACACCCATCTAGAACCGGGTCGGTCCCCACTTTGCCTCCAGAACTGCCTGAATTCTTCGGGGCATTCTACAAGGTGTCAGAAACGTTCCACCAGGATGTTGGTCCATGCTGACTAGATTGCATCACACAGTTGCTGCAGATTAGATGGCGGTGGCCTCCCAAGTGGCGCAGCGGTCTAAGGCACTGCATCGCAGTGCTTGAGGCGTCACTACAGCCCCGGGTTCGATCCCAGGCTGTGTCACAGCCAGCCGTGACCGGGAGACCCATGAGGCGGCGCACAATTGGCACAGTGTCGTTAGTCGTGGATGTTGAAATATTGAGTCTTTATGGTAACAGAATGCAGATTCTTTGTTAACAGAATAAATATGAGAGAGAGAATAGAGCTGAGAACTCTTGAGAAGGGAGGTACGGAGGAAGAAGAAGGCCTTGTTCCAGCTCTTTACAACAGTGCTTGTGTTGAGAGTTCCAGCGCTGACTGAGGTCACTATAGAAGCAGTAATGTAACAGTAACAGTGGAGGAGGCAGATGGGGCTGTTGGACAGAACAGAACCACTCCAACCTGAGGTGGATTCATCAGGTCTTTTGTATGTGCTTCCTGTGATGTAGAAGAGTAGTGGGGGACCGTAGGCTACTCATGGTGGTGGAGGCCCAATGCCATGCTTATAAACCTCTTTGAAAACCGATTCTTCAGACTCTACAAATATTTTGTTATTTTCAAAAATGTATAATTATTTGATTTGACCACATTATAAGGTGTCCGCTGTTTTCTGTTGGCTTATATCTAGTGTAGCAGGAGTGGAATGTGTTGTGTTGTTGTTGCCACGACTGAAGCAATGCCCAAGAAAGCCAAGCACCCCTCGTTTTGTGATTGGGCTTAGTGTTTACTCCCCTTTGCCGTCTTGGATCCACTCCTTGTCCCCAAGCTGGTTATTCCCAAGCAGAACCCTGATATCCTTCTGTTCTACTCTCCAGTGATGCCCACAACCGTCTGTGGTGTATTGGAAATGTTCTTATTCAGAATAACCAATCATATTAATTCCAAAGAGGGTTATGGTTTGAATTAACAAGTAGTAATTGGGTTACTCAATCAAATCAATCAAATGTATTTATAAAGCCCTTTTTACATCAGCAGATGTCACAAAGTGCTATACAGAAACCCAGCCTAAAACCCCAAACAGCAAACAATGCAGATGTAGAAGGACGGTGGCTAGGAAAAACTCCCTAGAAAGGCAGGAACCTAGAGAGGTACCAGGCTCTGAGGGGTGGCCAGTCCCCTTCTGGCTGTGCCGGGTGGAGATTATAAGAGTACATGGCCATTTAAGGCCAGATTGTTCTTCAAGATGTTCAAACATTTGTAGATGACCAGCAGGGTCAAATAACAGTCACAGTGGTTGTAGAGGGTGCAACAGGTCAGTGCCTCAGGAGTAAATGTCAGTTGGCTTTTTATAGCCGAGCATCCAGAGGTCGAGACAGCAGGTGCGGTAGAGAGAGAGTGAGTCGAAAACAGCAGGTCCGGGATAAGGTAGCAGGTCAGCGTTCCCTAGCCGCAGGCAGAACAGTTGAAACTGAAGCAGCAGCACGACCAGGTGGACAAGGGACAGCCAGGAGTCATCAGGCCAGGTAGTCCTGAGGCATGATCCTAGGGCTCAGGTCCTCCGGGAGGGGAGGGAGAGAGGGAGAGAGAGAGAATTAGTGGGCGCATACTTAAATTCACACAGGACACCATATAAGACAGGAGAATTACACCAGATATAACAGACTGCCCTCCAAAGAGTGTGATTGGCTAATGAGAGGCAAGGGGGTCACCTGGGAAGGCAGTAGGGTTAATAGTAGGGCTGAAGTAGCAAAGAGTGATGGCTAGCTGTGTTACCTGTGTGAATGTGAAATAAACGTATTCCGTTGTTTTACAATTAGCGAAGTCTTGGAGTCATCAGTAAAGAACCCAGCATCTAAGATGCAACACCATCCACTCAAACACTTCCATGTGAGATCATTAATCACAATGGTCCTATGAAGATGATCTTTTCTTCCTGAATTTTCTGTTGTACTTCATGCAGTTTGTGTGTTAATTGAAACAGCATTGTTTAAGTGATACACTCAGAGATGTAACGCTATTTTAGCTTTCATAACCAGTGCTTTTGTAATGCTGAAAACAAGACAAAAATATCATTATTTGATGCAGCTTTCAAACATGTCACATAATGAAATGGGTGGGGGGAAAGGAGAGGGGGGATTCAGCTCACTCTCAAACAGACTGAAAAGGAGACAGACAAATGAGTCTCCCAGTGGCATTGTTAATGACCTGTGTACAGACAGCGAAGAAGACAAAAAACAAAATCTATTGATTGACATTACAGTTACAGGCGCGTGTGAGACAGTTAGAGACAAAGAAAGAGCTCCTTAGATTTTTTTGGGGCATCTCAACCATTTCCCCATTAGGCTTCTGAGGTGATTGTAAATCCTAGATCTTAGACCTCTCCTTAACGGTATTGTTATGATGTTTGTTAACGCCTATATTTCTTCTTCCTTTCTTTCAGAATGTTAATGATCCATCTTCATGTGGGCATTACTCCTGGGATTGAGCTGCACTGTCCAACGCTCCTCCTTACTAACCATTGTGGGGTTGTTTGGGCAACAATATGTTTCTCACTGGAAGATGAGTAACGGAGGTGAAGACATACCCATCAAATCATCATGAACTATTTGCCATTCTATCCAGTTGTTGCTATCCAATACTAATGTGTGCCAAAAAACTACTGGTTATAACCCCCACAACATGGTTAACTGAGGTTAAAAAAATCTAGCCAGTCAAGAGTGATTACAGCAACTCCAACCAACAACAAGGAACTAATTATATTTTATTTATTTTTCCTTAACATAAACTTTATGGAAATTGTTATAAAAATGTGAAATAGTATAAAGGTACATACAGTGGGGAAAAAAAGTATTTAGTCAGCCACCAATTGTGCAAGTTCTCCCACTTAAAAAGATGAGAGAGGCCTGTAATTTTCATCATAGGTACACGTCAACTATGACAGACAAAATGAGGAAAAAAAATCCAGAAAATCACATTGTAGGATTTTTAATGAATTTATTTGCAAATTATGGTGGAAAATAAGTATTTGGTCAATAACAAAAGTTTCTCAATACTT